GGGAGGGGGGGGGTCTGTATTGAAAAATCAATTCCAAGGGGTCGGGGGGGGGGGGGTCTGTTTAAAAAAAAAATTTGGGGGGGGGGGGTCCAACACTTGCTTCGCAAGACAAACTCAAGGTATCCCTAAAGGGCTACCTTTCGTGACTAGCTTCTTGTTACTAGTAGTAAGGCACTTGTTACTAGAAGTGATGCACTTGTTACTAGTAGCTTCTAGAATGTGCCTGAAGCTCTGGAGATATCAAAGGATCTCTTCGGTTTTGAGCTGTTCGGAAGGACCTCAGCCGTACGAGCTGCTAGCTTGACTCAGCTTTGCGTCACAATCCAAGGTTGCGACTCCCAAACTGCACCAGCTGGGTGAATCCATGAGCGTCCTGTGCTAACATCATCAAATTGCTCCTCGGGATAGGTAAAGCAAAAATTGTTTGTTCCACTTGTTCCACTGAAACTCTCAGCAGCTTCCATGTCAAGTTTTGCTGCCAAACATCCAGCAATTGAGCTGTGGCAACCGCCAGCTCCGGGTCCAGGGGCCTGCAGGCAAATCTCACAACGATAGTCACATACAGCAGTGAGGTCTCACATGCTGTCAAGTACATGAAGGTTAGGAAGTTAGGACGGTTAGGAATAGCTTATCTCTGCTGTGTCAAATTTGTCGCACAACTTCTCTCTTGGCTTGTCTACTTTGGTTGGCCTTCTCGGAGCTTTGCTCCGACCTTCTCTGTTCATAGTGGTGAGAATATGTGAGAACGCCCAGGAGGTCTTATCAAGTTTTGAGAGCGGGGGACTGTGAGAGTGCAGTCTTTTTATTGGTTTTTAAAGTGTTTGGTATCATGTGATGCTCAAGATATGCAAAGATGCTTGTTTTCACTCTAGGGCAGAAGATACCACTCTACTCTAACATGGGGCCTGGGTGTTGGTTTTCCCAAAATGTTAGGTAAATGCTCTGGGGAAGTCTTGAGGAAAGGGGGGGGTCCAGCCAAGAGTCTCTGAGAATTGGTTGTTTGTTTCTTTTTGATTTTCCCAAGTTGTTTTAGTTGTTTTGTTTGTTTTCAATGTTGTTTTGTGTTCTCTATATTTTCTCGAGACTGTTTGTGTTTGTTTTCCAGTGCAAAGGACATTGAGGCAGCTTTCACAGACACATAGCATGAATGCAGGCCACAGTGGGAAGTTTATAGCACATAGATGGAAGTAGGCAGCAAAAACACATAAAATACGCACTCTGGTGGTCCCCTGTTTTGCAAGCTTTTCACCAGCTTAGCTTGTTGTGCTTATAGCCTGGCCACTTTGGGAACAAAGATTTCCGGCTTCTTTTCCAGCAAGGCTAGCTACATGGTTTGTCGTTGATGCACTGCCTTGCATCCTTGTTGAATTCAGCTGCTGTCCGGTCAGGGGCTCTGCAGCTGCCACTAAGCTTTCCTTGCACTTTTTTTCCCGCGTAGTGAGTTCTCCTCTTCTGGCATGTAATTCTGCAAAGTTGAAGCCCGAAGGCGGCAACTACCCCTCAATCTGATCATTGCATCATCCGCACATCACAAAGAAAGTAAGACGAGCTTTGCCTTGCGAGGCCAGCCCCGGCGCGGGAAGCAGGGAATTACTCTGCCCAAAGAGAAAGAAATGAGGCAAAGAGTTTGTCCAAGTCATCCTTGTAAGTTTTCTCATAATGGCTTGGAACTGTTTGCGAAGTCTTTGTGATTTTTAAAGTTTCAGCCGTGCTGCCAGCCGAGGGCTGCATTGATGGTAGCACGCCTGCGGGATGTGTCAAAGCACAGCAGGAAAGGCTTCGACAAGAATTGTTCAATCATGCAAAGTGGCACAAGGAAAGTATCTGTCCTTCGAAATCCTTCCCAAACAGGGCTGAAACCTGCAGCCTTAAGATCAGGAAAACAATATATAAGGATCTGAGAGTATGCTGACGTATTGTCTATGCATGCCAAGGCAACATCGCCTCCGTGCAGTCGAAAAAACCAGGAACATCCAGCCTGACCACACCACCCCTCAATGTGCTAATTATGAGCTCGTTGCCTGCCTTCTTTCCACAAGAAGTGGCAACCAGCTTGCCAGAAACATGTTCCGTGGATTCCATAGCTGCAAAAGTCATTGTTTCAAAAAGGATGCACTGCAATATTGTCAACAAAAACATAAGGAACCGCGATATTGCCATGTTCCTAGATTGATTCACTGACATGTTTCAAACAACTTTTGGAATCAAATTCCGTTGTTTCAAACTTGATTGAACGGGCTTCAAAGGAGCCTCGATCCATGCGTTTGCTCTTGGTCGTCGCTAATCATCTAATCATCGTTAAACATATGTTTTCAAAAATTGCGTCAAATGCTGTTGAAAAAGACTCTCCTCTTCTGGTTTGCTCTTGGGCTTGGAGGACGCGTTTCTGCTTTCGCGTGATTGGTTTTTGAACTCTTCAACGTTTTGAGGCATCTGTCAAACACCCGCTGCTTGCAATCTTTCGCGCGACACTGTCAAAGGTCTCGATCCCATCTTTCCATCTCCTCACCAAAAAACAAATGAATAGAAAACAGCTAGGATAGGCACGCAACTTGAAATCTTAGTGCGAATTGTGATGTTCACCCCTGCATGAAAAACATATTCAATTTACGCACGGACCCGGACACTATAGCGAGCTCTAGCTCGGTCTGGGCGCGCACTATAGGGGGTTCCTTTCTTTTCCGCCTTGTCTGTCCAGGCTGTGTGCTGCCATTAGCCCTTTCTTCTCCGCCTTGTCCAGGCCTTGTCCTTTCTTCTCCGCCTTGGCCGGGGTGTCTAAAGGTCCTTGCGCAGGCCTTATTCAGGTTTGTCCACGCTTGGCCGCGCCCCGCCTTGCCCGGATATGTCCAGCCCTTGTCTGGGTCTGTTTGGCCACGCCGTGGCCATCCGGGTCTGTATGTCCACGCTTGGGCCTGGGCGTTGTCCTTGTCCGAATATGTCGCGTCGCAGGCCTTTTCTTCCCCACCTTGTCCAGGCCTTTTCTAGGCTTTGTCCGGGTCTGTGTGTCTTCCCAGCCTTGGCCTGAATGCTATGAATACACTCCAGGAAAAACTGTTGCATGGATTCCACACAGATTGCCAAGAAGAATGAAAAAATAGGTGCCAAACAAAATGCCAAAATAAATGTCAGAATAGACATGCCTGTAGACTGGCAGCAAAGAATGTCAGACTCCATGCTAGAATAGATGCCGCAATATATGGCAAAAATAATGTCAGCTAAAATGTCAGATTAGGTGTCAGATTACATGCCAGAACACTTCCCACGCAGCTGCCAGAACTGACGTCAGAACACATGCCAGGTACACACCAGAACGCGTTTCGCAGCATATTTCGGAACACTTGTCAGGCATAACGCCAGAAATGTCAAAGTAGGTGACAAGGTACATGTCAAACCACATATCAAAGCAAATGTCGGGGCATATGTTAGAGCACATGTCGGAACAAATGGCAGGTTGGTAGCAGAAGAAGTGTCAGAAAACATATCAAAACAAATATCAGGACACATGCCTCATTTGATTTGATGCGGGGTACATGTCAGAAACACGCGCTACAAGATATTTTTGTCAGAGCACATGTCAGACTTGACGGCAGGACAATGTCAGAGTTCACACCAGAAGTAAGGATGTTAGACCATTTTTCCAGAACACTTCCCAGCCCTTAGGCTCGGCTAGATTGTGTGTGTCAGAGGACATGCCAGAACTTATGTCAGAACAGGGCACGTCGCGCACGTGCCCTGCCTTCTTCCAAATCGCCTTCCAGCGCGGGGATCACTGGAAGTGAAGCGATTGATCCGAGCTAAACACGGAATCCCAACTTCCTACATCCCTAAATGTCTTTTTGTTGCCTTCTTGAGATTTTATGTCTTTTGCTGCTTTCTTCTGGCACTTGGAAGAATCGTCAAGAATCTGTAGGGAGATTTCCAAGCTTCAGGATTGATGGATATCTTGCGCAAGCGAAGTGCTCTGTAGGGGTGCAAGCCCACAACGGGCGGCGGACGAATCGGACGCCAGGAATCGGCCACCAGAACGCCGAATCGGACACCAGGAGTCGGTCACTAAGAAATTGGAATCGGTCACCGGTCGCCAGGGATCGGTCGCCAACCCGAATCGGTCACCAACTGGTCGCTGATTCGGAGCTCTCTCCGCCAACCCGAATCGGTCACCGCGGCAGGCGGGAGCCAGTGGAAGCAAGAAACCCGCTGGAGAGCCCTAAACAAAGCCCAAACAAACCCCGGAGCAGCGAAGCTTTAAACCAAACCCGAAGAAACTCTGAAGAAGTTCACCTAAACCAACCGCAAACAAACCTTATAAAGAAGCCTAAACCAAGGCCAAGGAAACCCTGAAGAAGTCAGCCCTAAACCAAGAACAAACAAATCCCAAAGAAGCCAAGCCCTAAACGAATCCCAAACAAACCCGCCTAAAGAAGCCAAGCCCTAAACAAAGCCAAAACAATCCTGAAAGAAGTGAATCCTGAAACCAACCCTAAACAACCCAAAGAAGTCAAGCCCTAAACCAACCCTAAACAAGCCAAAACAAAGCCTAAAGAGGCCAAGCCCTGAACCAATCCCAATCAAATTCGTGTAAAGAAGCCAAGCCCTAAACTTTTAGGGCTTGCGCCCAATCTGCGCCAGCACAGTTGTTTTTCACCAGGGGATTGAAGCTTTTGAGGTCCATACATTTTTCGGCTTAGGCGTCCTCAAACCTTACGACCACTTTCGTGTACTTTTGTTTTTTTCCATGTTCCCCTTTGGAAGGGTTGAAGCTTGGGGCGAACCCCTTCTGTCCTTTGAAGGCTATCTTTACCATTTGGAAGGATTGAAGCCTGGGGCGAAACCAAGCCGTAAACCAAGCCCAACAAAAGCCTAAAGAAGCCAAGCCCTAAACAAAGCCCAATCAAACGCTAAATAAGCGAAACCCTAAAGCAAACCTGACAAAACCCTAAAGAAGTCAACCCTAAACCAAGCACAAACAACCCCCCAAAGAAGCCAAGCCCCAAACCAGGCCCAAGGAACCCTTCTCAAGAAGTCAAGCCCCAAAAACAAGCAAAAAAAATCTCAGGGAGTCAAGCCGTAAACCAAGCCCAACCAAAGCCTAAAGAAGCCAAGCCTTAAACGAAGCCCAGACAAACCCTAAACCAAACCCAAACAAACCTTAAAGTTAAGAAGTCAAGCCCGAAACCAAGCCCAAACAAACCTGCCTTCAAAAGCCTAGCCATAAACAAAGCCAGAACAACCCCTAAAGGAGTGAAGCCTGAAACCAAGCCTAACAACCCCCCAAAGAAGTCAAGCCCTAAACCAAACCCAATCAAATCCGAAAGAAGTCAAGCACGAAACAAGCCCAAACAAACCCTAAAGAAACAAACTCTAAACCAAGCGCAAACAAACCCTAAAGAAGCCAAGCCCCAAACCCTCCTGAAGAAGTCAAGCCCTAAAAAAAAGAGCCAAAACAAACCCTAAAGGAGTCAAGCCCTAAACAAAGCCCAAACAAACCCTGAAGAAGAGTCGAAGTTTTCTCAGCTCACAACAGGTACCCCCTACAATGCTGGACACCCTGAACGATATACGGTTACCTCAGTTACCTCCTTATTAATTTGATCCATTCCCAATCTCATGAAGATGCAATTTTGCGATGAAAGAATCACAGTCATCCAGCTTTCTGCTGGCTCCCTCCTGTTTGAGGGCATGGTGATTTCCGGGCTCGTGCAGCCACACTCTATAAGGTCGTCTCTCCTCTTGGCGTGGACATTGACACTCGCATTTGGCGCTCTTCAGTGGTTCGCCTTACTGGTGGAGGGATACCGATGGGCTTGACTTCTGTCAACTGATGCCTCACCTTCGATTGTTGAAACTCCAGTGACCGGGATTGTCATGTTGGTGTTCTCACTCCAGCGTTTTTCAGAACACTTGATGGAGCAATGCCACCGCCACAGACTGGCACGCAATGGATCCTTCTTCGCTGGTGGTGAGGACATTGGGACGCGCTTGAGATTGAATTTCAGGAACACTCATTCACTGTCATTCGTTGGGATGGTCTTGCAATTTGGCCCATGCTTGGTCTCACTGATTTCCTTCAGTGGCTTCGTACTACAAGCAATCGTCTTCTGCTCTCCATCACTACGCAGCGGCGGTTTGAGCAGCATGATGCCTACTCTTGTGGAGCCATCGCGATCAAGCACATGGCCATCCTGATTCGACCAGCCTTCTCTGGCATGTCCATTGCCACCTTGCATCGTCTCCTGCAGCGGCATTCATCCCATCCTGGTGCATGGATTGGTGGTGGTCCTATTGGCGAAGATCTGGTCGCACGTCAGCTCTCGTCGCTTTTGGCTGAACGCGGCGCGCCTTCTGAGCTCTGTTCTGAGCGAGCTAAAGCTGCAGTTGCCCGCCTTGGGCTGAGCGATTTGCAAACTGCCCTTGATCTGTGAAAGCGCTGGTGGTGAAACATGATGAACTACAGAAGCATGTTCAAGCTCGGGCCAACACGAAGAAGGTCTCTCAGGCCCACAAGAAGCCCAGCAAAGCCAAGCCTTCTACGCTTCACGCCTCACAGCTTGATGTATCGCAGCTCAGTTTGCTCCCTGGCTCATTCATTGATGAAGCTGATCAACCGGTCACCTCTTTGGACTTTGCCGGATTGAAGCGCGATGCTACTGGGTTGGTCCTTTGCCGTGTCGCTGACATTGTTCCCTTCTTGGAGGAAGACACTCACATCTCAGCACATCCATTGGCGGCACTTACAGTTGGGCAAATTTCCACTGAGCTTCGTGGCTCACTTCCCATTGTCGATCTTGCCTTTCCCGTCATGCACGATCGAGCTCAGAAAGGCATCTTGATTGATGACTCATTGCTACAGCTTGGACAGAAGATCATCAAGCGGTGCCCTGCTGCCAAAGAGCTCAAGCTATCCACAATTGACACTCAGGCTCTCAAGCTTTGGCTTCATCGAGATCAATGGCCCAATGACTGGTCCAACTTTGTGAGGTCACCTGTCCGCTGCATCATGGACAAGTTCCCCAACTTTGTTCCAGGGCTGCTAAAGTTTGTGGGGCCGGATGCCTTCATTTCCACCCTCCTGTTGGTGAAGATGATGGCTATGAGACTGTCTTGCTGGATGTATGGGCACGGGCCTGGACCACTGACAAGTTCACGAAGGCTACTCCTGACTCCGTGAAGGCCTTCACCGGTCCTACGTGGAGGCTCTCACTGGTCTCACATGGAGGCCTTGGCCGGTCCCACGTGGAGGCCTTCACCAATCCTATGTGGAGGCCTTGGCCGGTCCTGCGGAGGCCTTCACCGGTCCTACGCGGAGGCCTTCACCGGCCCTACGCGGAGGCTTTGGCCGGTCCTACGTGGAGGCCTTCGCCGGCCGACGTGGAGGCCTTCACCGGCCCGATGTGGACGGTCCTACGTGGAGGCCTTCACCGGCCCTACGTGGAGCCCTTGAAGTACAGCCATCAAGGCTTCACGTAAGACCGGCCAAGGCCTCCACGTAGGGCTGGACCGGCTTAAGGCCTCCACGTGCAGCCGGCGAAGGCCTATCGTCGAGTTATGTTTCGGGCTCTGAAGAAGCAGAAACCCATGCCATGGGCATGGATCTCCTTCAATCTGTCTCCAGTGCTTCCATCATCTCTGTGTCGGCTGATGGTACCTCTGTTCAATTGGATCAGCCATTGCAAGTGGAAGCAACAGCTACCTGGACTGTGCAAGGTGTCCCAGCAACAGTGTCACCTTTGGCGCCTTGTGGCTATTTAGTGGACACTGACTTACTGCTATGCCCTGGACAGAAACTCGAGCAGACTCAACTGCTGGCTACGCCGGCGGCTATTCATGCAGAACTCCGTCGGCACTGGCAATCTCGCTGGGGCAAGGCTCCTGATTTAGGCCCTGCACTTTGGGATCGCATTTCCACTTTCATGGTTGCATATCTACCTCAGCGCTACTTGACCTTGCCGGCATTGGATCCTTCTCTTTGGCAGGCTACTGTCGCCAAGTTTACTGCACGCTCTGCCCGACGTTGCGACGGCTTTGACTATGCTGATCTGCAACGTATGCCTTTGAGTTTGCAACAGCATTTGCTTTCCCTGCTGTCTACCATCGAGGACACTGGTCATTGGCCAAAGCAATTGTTGGCTGGACTTCTGCATGGGCTTCCGAAACATGAGGCTGCTTCGGAGGCCAAGGAATTCCGACCTACCCTCATCTACAGTCAAGTGTTTCGCGCATGGAGTTCTTTGAGGGCTTCACAGATCTTGGCCTATCTGTCTCCGCTCATGGACTGTAACTCTGGATGCTTACCCAGGCCGCCATTGAAGAAGCGCTGCAGATGAATCAGCCTCTCGTTGGCATTGTTTCAGATGTTCAGCGTGCTTTTGATGCCACGATTTCCAATCTTTCGCATTGCACTGCACTTGGACTACCTGCCAACTTCATCTTCGCTTGGGCAACTTTCTTGTTCTTGTCGGAGACATTCTTTGTGGTGAGAACAGAGTGTAGCGCTCCGATGACTACTACCTGCGGCTTTCCCCAGGGTTGTGCTCTTTCGTGCACTGCAATGCTCTTGCTGAACTTCTGCTACCACACCTGGATGAAAGTATATTCCCCCAGTGTCTTGGCCCTTACGTTCGTTGACAACTATGAACTTCTGGCCAGATCAGTCCGAGATTTGGCGCATGGACTGGCCACTCAGCTTAGCTTCCTCGACATGGTGCAGCTGGATCTGGATGCACGGAAGACATATTCATGTTCAGCATTGGCACCGCAGCGCCGTCAGCTAGCCGAGTTTGCTCACCGAGTCGCCTTTGTGGAGCGTGATCTGGGAGGTGCTATGACTTATAGACGCCAGCGCTCATCAGCGACCACTCAGCTTCTCATTGATGCCCTTCAAGGTTCTTGGACACTTTGAAACGTATGCGGTGCTCTGCTTTTCAGAAGGAGCAATTGATTGTGCTGCAATTGTGGCCTCATCTGTTTTACGCTGCCGGCATTTTACATGTGACTGCGGTACAATTCCAAAAGCTTCGCACGGCAGCTGTCCGTTCTCTTGGGCATGGAAAAGCTGGAGCCAGTCCCTTGGTTAGACTCAGTTGCCTGGGCTATACAGTGCTTCTTGACCCTGAAGCCTTTTGGTGCTGGCGAACTCTTGTCGATTTCCGCAGATTGCCTCGGAAACAGTCCGGCTTGGTTCAACTCTGGGAGCGCTTTATGAACAGGTTCGATGGTACCTTGCTTCCTGGGCCGTGTTCCTTTTTGGTTCAACTTTGTCAGTTGTTGGGCTGGAATGTCATTGATTCTGATGCACCATGCATTCTTGATCACCATGGACTACAATTTGATCTGCTACGTTGTTCACGTTCTTCTTTGTGGAGGCGTTTCCAGAATGCTTGGTATACTCACGTTAGCCACCAGCTGCGCGCAAGGACTTCTTATGCCGAGCTCTACGGTTTGGATTGGCCACTGAGTCACAAAGGAGAAGAACGTCTTCCACCTGCGCAGGTCGCTCGACTTGCAGCCCTTCGTGAAGGAGCATTCCTTACCTCCAGCCAGCAGTCACGCTTCGATGTGATCAAGGACGGCACTTGTTCACTTTGCGGCCAGCTTGATGATTTGGAGCATCGATGCACTTCCTGTCCCTCGCTACTTGATGTATATGCTGAACACCAGGAGGCTTGTGGCCTTTGGCTTGTCCTGCCTACTTGCCTCACGCATCATCTTCTTGCACCAGCCAATCCATGGCAACCGGATATTTGGCGCTGTCTGGAAACGTTGCCTGACGTTTGCTTATGCCTGCAAGAGTTGACACCGTTTGCTGCTGTCAATCTCTTCACTGACGGCAGTTGCTCCAATCCGGATGATGAGCCGTTGAGATTAGCTGGCTGGGCTGCCATTTCAGTTGAGCGCGACTCTTTGCTAGCTTCTGCACCGCTTGCCGGATGGGAACAACGCAGTTCCCGTGCTGAATTGACTGCAGCACTTGCCGTCCTGTTGTGGGCGGTTGGGCATCAGGTATCTTGTGCAGTTTGGACGGACTCCGCCTATGTCGCTCAAGGCTTTTGGCGCCTTGCTGCAACCCCAGAGGAAGCACCCTTTTCCTCGCACACCGACATTTGGCAGCGCATTTTGGAGCTTTTGGGCCTGGCAGCTGACTTTCGAGTTGTCCACATTCCGTCCCATGGCCCTTTGCCAGACTTGATCGTTGACGTTGATGATTGGTGCACCTACTGGAATGACAAGGCCGATCGGGCCGCGTTGGCTGCCAGACAGAGCGGTAGCCAAGAAACATCCTCCAGCGGCACCGGTGAAGGCCAAGTCACGTCAGTGGCGTCATCATCAAGTGCCACGGCAGCGGGAGGCTGCTTGGAGTGAAGTCGCTCAGCAACATCAAGATGTAGGGCTCGAAGACACTTCAACTGAGCTCGAGTCCGAGTGATCCAAGCCCGATGCTCTGCCCACCACTCCCAGCAAGCCTTAGTGAGAGTTGGGAATTTGATTTGTACAACAATTCTGTTTTCACGATTTGGTGTCCAGAGTTTATGCCCACTTTCTTGCAATGGCAACTTCGCAAGCTGGCACAGGGCTCGTCTTTATTTGCCGTTTCGTGGCTTGAACTGATTTGTCTTTTCAGGGAGGTGGGTATTTCAATCCCACATCCGGTCTCTTTTGGAAAGGGCAGAAGTGGTTGATGGATCATTCGGCCCCGGCAAGTTCACATGTTTCCAGGACGGTTGCGAGTACCATCAGGTATCTCCGTGATTTTCTTTCGTTGTTTTCTTGGGGTTTTGGTTTGGACATTCAATTTGTTCGACAGTTGAAACTTGTGGAACTCGCCATCCACTTCCCTCTTGATGGTCTCCCTGTTTTGGTCTCTACGACCATGCTCCGCTCTGCACACAGAGAGCTGAGAACATGGACCTCAGGCCGTGCGGTCAAGGTACAGAACGACCTTGCCAGGCCCATCGGACCTCGATGATCCTTCACTGGATCACTGACCGGCAGTCCGCACCGCGGCGTGCTGCGCTGCCGTGCGACTGCTTGAAGACCGTTCGCATGTGATGAAAGAATCGGGGCATGTCAGGAAATTAATTGAGGGAAGGGGCCTGAAAAGTGGTATCTTAGACCTTCTGGACCTTGTCGACCTTCTAGTTGCAAGGGGAATGCATTTTTATATTCATCCGGAGTTCACATTACTTACGCAACTGTAGACAACCTTCCCTGTTTGATCAGGGTGTGAATTGAATCCTTGTGCAGCGTTTGGAATCTCTTTTGAATCTAAACTCTGTTAACATGAAATTATTTAGGAACCACACATATGATTCATATAATCAAAGCAATTTGTGATTCGGCTCTAATTTGGACTCCTGTGGAAATGGATATCTTAGTTTGTAAACCCATAGAGAAACACAAAAAGGGTAGTCTACTGTAAGAAATATACTCTTTGAATCTCTTTGATATGTATTTGACCACTTAAAACTCCTGCATATTCCGATGTGGGATGTTTCGAATTGGAACCTCAGATTTTTCTAACTTTCAGGTGCAAGAGCAAAATGCTTTATATGTTTAGGGGGGCACGGAATGTGTAACCATTCTATTTGGCCCGTTGAAAATAGCACAATACTCAATTTCTGGTGCTGTGGACCGTGGTGGTATCCTTGGCTTGGACAAGCACCCTTACTGGACCCAAATCCTGTTTGCTTGGAATGATGATCATCACATTCGCTCCTCGCGAGATGTCCCTGGCGGGTGTATGCCCTTCGTTCTGCACGAATCTGGAATCAAGAGCGGGTTCATGCCTCAAGTTCTGCCAAGGTTGAGCTTCCTTCCACTCGCCGAGGTGTCTGTGCTCAAGGTCCCCGCAGGCACTCCAAAGTGCTTCTGACGGTGCATCCTGCAGAAATTACACTAGCACGCGCCCTCAACTGCAACCACAGGATAGAAAATGTATGTCCCGGTATGTTTGCACCTAACCCACCTTGTACGTTTTCCTGACAAAAAGAACTAGAGTACGCTTCCCGAGTAAAGGGACTAAAATCGGAGAGCCCATATACAATAAAGCTTTCTAGTATGTCTTTGAAGCTACTAGGTGGAGACCATCGCTATTAGGTTGGAGGCCATCGCCACTAGTAACAATAAAGCTTTCTAGCAACTAAAGGCTACTAGGTGGAGAATCTTTGACAGGACGAACAGAGACGAACGTGAGTGGTGAGCATCGAGAGACACGCGCTTCATCTCAAAGTGAGACGCCAAACCAGAGGCGGCCAGAGGCGGCCAGAATCCAGGACCCAGAAAAAACTTAGTCGACAAGAAGGAAAAAGGACGAGAAGCAGTATATAAATATGTGTTAAAAAAACTTAAAGAAACATATTGACAAGGTCAATTTAGTCCAAGTTGCTCCAGACTCGAGACAAAGAGACAAAGCAAGGCAACTGTGCAAGAAACGGCGGATTCCCGAAATGCTCAATTCTACATGCTCCTGGCACCTTGAGGTCTGCATGAATCTCTACTCTGTTTGTATAGTAAATTTCAGGTAACATGGTATGAAAAGTATGGTACATATCAAGCAGACCGTCAATCTCGGGTTCTGGCTATGTCCAGATCAAGACATGTTCCAGTCGTAAAGCAGAATACCTAAGCAAACTTAGCACTTTTCTCGAAAGAAAGTGCAACAACCTGAGCCACACACTCTTAAAGACAAACCAATTGGATGTCACAACCGCAGCCAAGCGCAGCCAAGCGCGGCCAAGCTTCACGTCTGTTTGAAGTACATGACTTGCACAACTCCCAAAAGTCCTTCAGTCACACTATGTCACATTGTTTCATCCCCGAGACCAAAGCGAGTAGCAAAACCAGGAAGAAGTGTCTTTCAAGAGGTCCTGCGTCTCACCATCCCACAAAGATTCAGCAACCGCGGCCTGGCTAGACTAGACTGCTTTCTTGAGTGCAAAACTCAAATCAACTGGTAGAGTAGTGATGACCACATGCTTCTTGATTGCTGGCCAACTGGTCGATTGCAAAAGCTACAGCGTCCGCTGACCTACCCATTACCATCAGGGTGCATAGAGCGGCGCAAAACTTTGACTAACCACCTTGCTCAAAGTGAGGCACAACATGGCAAAGTACTGAGGCAATGAAAACATAATGGATACAAAGTCGTGTACAAAGCTCATCTGGTCTTGTACATACATTAATATAGCGAACCTTGACCAAATTATTGGCCTGGTCATTGGAGCCATCATTGCATCTTGATACATCAATTATCTGTGCCGTTGTCTATGCTGCTCTTGAATATGTTTGAAAATAGAAAGATTGTGTTCCTTTTCTACCGTATGATTGTTTTTCCTTTTCCTCTTCAACTGCTTGAACCGTATGGAGTTTAAAGACGTGCTGTGGCTGATCAATGGGGTTCTCAATAGGCCGGCGTCTCCTTTTTCTCTCGCTCTTTGCATCTTGTCTCATGATCTCAGAGCCCCAGCAACTGGCTATGAATGTCGTCTTCCAAGGAATGCCGTGGGGCCTGAAGCTTCCAACAAGCTGACTGCAAGTTGAGCTGCACACAACATGCTGGCTTGGCCTGAGCTGCCTGTCCAGCCCACCTCGGCAGGTCGACATATATCAACATGCAAGCACTTGGGTGTTGGCACATACAAGATCATCCACCATTTCACAAGCAAGCCGTTCCCGGCAAATGCATCTTGACTCAAACTTCAAAAGGAAAGGGAAGAGTCAGAGTGGGTGCAGCCGAACCGCTCTGGCCGCTTCCCCTTGGAAGTACCCTTGCCATGTGCCTTCCGGAAACTCGTAGCTTACCGTTTACTGCATACTCTTACGTACATGATATGTGTGACGTTCACTACCGTACTAGTGCAACAGTATGTGTCTGTGCAGAAATATGTCAGTAATTCTGTCTAGTTCTTTCTTAAATCTGCACAACTCCGTGAGGGAAACATCCACATCCCCAACCTGATGTCCGGCGCCAGGAGTTCCTGCATTTCCCGGGTTAAACTGCTGCATCTAGATCTGAATTGCCACGCTCAAAAAAGAATGTGCAAGCAGCAAAGAGAGCAGGATTCGTCGGACACATGCAGGTCTCCTCCAGGTGCTTGGAGCCCTTGGCTCTTGCCTCCAAGAAACAAGAACAAAGCTATTCTTTCAAAAGCTATTTCTCATTCGTGTCAAGGCCTTTGCTTTGGTCGTAGTATTTCTGCCAAACCTTGCACCTACCAGGTACAAAGCACTGCCATCCAAGCGTATCCGAGAGTCAAAGCACCATTGGCTACTAGTAGTGGCTGTTGGGGAAATCCAAACCAAGAGACTTGCTCTTGTCGGTGCATAGCTACCCTCAAAAGAAATGGCAATCGCCGAATTGAAAAACACCTATCCCAAACGAAACGGTCAGGAATGGTCCCCAGTTGCATGCCCTACCAGAGTTTGGTAGTATTGATATGTATTGATCGGAATACTGAAAATCTGCTTGAGGCAAGTGCCATTGATAGTACTGACGCCAGCATTCTTGGCCTGAAATCATCACAGCGAAACACATGTGCAAAGCAAAGGCTTGTTTCCAAAAACTGAGCATTTGACGGTAAGCTTCGAACTCTTCAGGTGAGGCTCCTCACCAACGAACCCCCATCTGTGGCTAGGTGATGAATGTGTGCCAAAACGGTCCTGGCGGTGGCTCTGGAATAGATGGCCTCAACCAAGCCAAAAATATTCTCAGCCTTGAACATCAAGAAACAAAACTGCTAAGGCAATGGCTGTCCTGGTCCTGCCTAACAAAACAAAAGATTATGTGAATGTGAAAAGCAAGGGCCAAAGCGGCATTTGATTTGATGAAGGAGGTTCAGTCTGGTGGGATGAAGTTTAACTGTCTCACTCGGCCCTTGAAGAGGCCTGAAGTTCTGCTGGCCTGGCAAATGCGCACCCACTTGATCAACATTCCTTCCAAAACGACCACAAAATTGCAGCTCAGCTCTTGCAACCCCATCGAGATGTTTGAACATAGAAAATAAGTGCTGCACCATCAAAGACCTTAGCCTTTGTAAAAGTATCATGCTAGGCACAAATGACTTAGGAGTTGGGCTCTGAAGTGACATAGGTGCTGTGGCATTTGAAATATGCATGAGGCCCATGTCATGTTGTCCGGTTTGCTACAGACATGCCGCATGCCCCAACAGGTCTAATGAGATAGGACTTGTGGAAGGTGGATGAGCAAAAAGATGAATGATCAGCCTGCACACAATGTCGTGACTTAGGCAGCCCTTCTTCCCTTGTGCCATGTCATGACGTCATGCTATTGCCTATTTGCCTCTTAACTCTATGTCATCAAACTTTCAGTTGTGAAACGTGATAAAACAAAGACTAGTCCGCATAGGCTTGGCTAGGCTCTAGTACTATATGTTTTCTGCTCAAAGGCTCGTGACCTAGGTCTTGCGCATTTTTTGCGTGTTTGGCTTTTGCATTATGACTTAGGACTTTAGAAAACCGGTCATAGACCTGAAGTATCGCAGCGCGGCTGACAGTACAGAGTTTGAATCGGGCTGGTGGCAGAAAGCCACCATGACCAGAATCTGGTGGAGGTCTCTGTGTGGACGCACTATGTAAATCTATGTACTGTACCGTCGTCAAAGATCACCTGAGAGGACTCTAACGGATGGGGTTGTTGCCTCTCAAGAGATGGCTGAAAGAGATCTGCAGACCACAGCTTCGAGAGAAAAAGGCATCGAAGGTGAATGTTCCAGATTGGACTTTCTCGGCACCGCTACAAAAGCCGTATCTGCGTGCACAATATTCTACAAACTTCTTTGAAGCAGGGGACACTTTTTTCAGTTGTGTGAATTTCACTGAGTTCAATCAAGTCTTCTATTTCCATGTGCTATTTAGGGAGTACAGGTTATGGCTCTAATGGATCCCAGGAGTCTGCAACGCCTTTGCGTTCTGCTCTGGAAGGGAAACAGCCATTCCTACAAACAAACTACGCAAGCTCAAAATGGTCTGAGCTACCTTTCGTCGGACAATCGTCCAATGTTATCCCCAATTAGAGACGTCAAAGCCACAACAGCAACTGTCAACTGTGCCAAATACCCAGATTTGGCAACTTTTCACTACAGTATATAACTCGTGTATCATGGGGGTTGTCCTGGAATTCAATCCCAAGCAGGATACATTTGATTTGATACACAACAGAGAGATGTCAGGATCCAACTCTTCCAGACACCACTGCAACTGATTGCCTGAGATCGTGGAAAGGACTCGCTTTTTATGTCTGTGCTGTGATTTTGTGGGTGGAATCCAAATTTGGCACGTGCATAGTCAAACCAGGATCTTGTGAAAGACACTCAATGGAGAAATGTTACAGTTACAGTAATCGTTGAGTGGTTTATTATCCAGCCGAATCTGCCACAGCCTGACCCTGTGGATGGTTGAAAGGCTTGGACAAGGGTGTAAGTAAGGATTTTACGATGTTCCAATATCGTACCTGAAGTCTCAAATGCATTGAAAACATGCAAGGGCTGCGTTTGTGAGGCTATGTCCGCACCCAGGCTCCTCACACGGAAGGTATCTGCTATCTGCAACAACACATTGTGCAATTTGCTTGCCAAGCGCCACCTCAGCATTTGTGCTTTCCTGCCAAGCAGTGAGAACAAGAAGGTGCCAAAGGCCCTCAAGGACCTCAAGGCCCTGAAAATACCGCTGATGCACAAATCTATTGCAAGACTGATCATGATTGATCATCAACGAAAGAGCAGTCAGGGACACGTAGGCCCCAACCTCTCAAATGAGATGTAGCAGCAATGGGCATTTACTTTCTGGAGGTTATAGCGGCAAGCGTGTTGGATGAACAACCTTACAACGTCAATAAAGAAGAAAAACAACAAAGGCAAATGAAGTTGGGGCGCCTTCTTGCCAAGCACCTGTGTCAGAACTGTTTGGTGGTCACTGTAGGTTTTTGAACTTGGGTGGCGGCGCTGGGCATTAAACAACCAAATGGAAAACAAACATAGAGCGGCCAAACAACCAGACCGGGAGGCCAGACTCTGCCTCCTTTGTCTTGAGGTGGTGTTCGTGAGGAAGACACGAATAAGGGATCAAATTACACCGGCATAGACCCCAGATGGCGGGAGCATGGGTTTAAAGGACACGCTGCGGACGGCTGTCACCGCAGCACGCAACATCAGACCATTCCACCAATATGCGCAACATCTATCAGCTGAATGCACCCGCTTTGACTAACACAGACATAAAACTGCAAGATCGGCAAGGACCAGCCAAAACTGCCCCGACGACATGATGATCATTGCTGCACAACACGGTGTCACGTCATGCACAATCTGACAGCATGTCATCCCTGGCGTGACATGATGCCGTCCCTGGGAGGAGGCTCATTTTGGAACATGCGATTCGGCTCATTTAGGAACACGCAGAATGTGCCCATTTAAGCTCATTCTGGAACACATGATTCGGCTCATTTTGGAACACAACAATCATTTCGCACTGTGGAATAGATTCCGGTGTTCGATATGTAGCGCGCATGCGACGATGTCATATCGGTTCGCGGGTCCAATTTAGAGGACGAAGGTGCCATGCCAAGGTAGTATACCTTCCTGGGTTGCATTTGTTGCTTTGATCTCCTTCACCACAAGCGGGAGGGGGGCGCGGGGGAGGGCGCAGCGCCTCCCCCGCAATGTAACCAAGTCTAGTGGCTTTGTTGGGGTTCATCGGTTGCTGGGGTTCGTTGGTTGCTTCGTTGCTTGACTTAACCCCCGCGTGGCTCACAAGCGGCGTGCTTTGGAATGGCACCTTCCTGCCCTAAATGTTACCCCCGCGGCCCGCGTGGCTCACAAAAGGTACTACCTTGGAATGGCACCTTCCTGCTCTAAATTCTCCCCCTGCGTGACTGCTACCGTGGAATGGCGCCCCCTTCCTCTATTTACATTCACATTTATCCCCCGCGTGGCTCAGAAAAGGTATGCGACCTTGGAGTACAATCCTTTCGCACTGTGGAATAGATTCCGGCGCTCGATAGAAGTTTGTTGCGCGTGCGATGTCGTGTCAGTTCGCGGGCCAAATTTAGAGGAGAGGTGCCATGCCAAGGTAGTATACCTTCCTGGGTTGCATTGTTGCTTTTGGTCTCCTTCAAAATAATCGGGAGGGGA